GTGTCTGTCTGTCTGTGAGGTGAGGTATGAGTGAGTGTGTGAGTGTGAGTGTCTGTGTGAGATGTGTGAGAGAGTGTCTGTCTGTGAGGTGAGGTGTGAGAGTGTGAGTCTGAGTGAGTGAGTGAGTGAGAGAGTGTCTGTCTGTCTGTGAGGTGTGAGAGTGAGTGTGTGTGTGTGTGTGTGTGTGTGTGAGAGAGTGTCTGTCTGTCAGTGTGAGGTGTGTGAGTGAGTCTGAGAGTCTTGAGTGTGTGTGTGTGTGAGAGAGAAACACTGACCGGAGCTTCAAACTCTCTGAAAGTTTCTCTGCCTCTTCGATGGCCTTTTTAAAGCTGGTTGGTCCGAGCATAGACAGAAAGAAATCCTGAAAGCCATCAAATGAATATACGGTGATTGACAGAACGCCTATCACATTTCAGGACATCGTGACGTTAACAACATCTGAGCTTATAAACCATCAGCTGAATAATCATACAAATACATGTGTATAACACGCATGTAACGCAGTGATCTCATCCTCAGTGTCAGTCTCCACCATTAAAATCTCCCACAATGCACTAGGGCTGTACCTGCTGCTGCTTGAAGTCCGGTCTCTTCTTGATGAGGTCGTAGACCGACAGGTACTTCATGTACAGCACATACGCTTTCTCCTCATCGCGGTCCAGACGACACTCCTCCGCCGCCTTGAAGATCTTGCACGCGCTCTGGACGTAGCTGAAACACACAAGTATCAGCGTCTGATCTGCGTTTCCCAGAAGCACCACGAGCGCAGCTGGTCGCACAGACCACTGGTGCCAGTGTTTCTGAACACTTACGATGCTTCTGAGAAATCTGCTGCCACAAATGGAGATGTTCTGTAATCAATCAGTGTATAATGCAGAAGACTTCAAGACAATACCGTGCTCCTCTGTGAATCATAAAACTTGCTACCGTCACTCTGAGAGCCAATCATCAATATCAGGGAACATTAAATGAATCCCCGTGTCTCCTGACGATATACTGAGATCTTCTGAAGAGAAACGATCAGTCTGTGCAAGAAGCTGAACATTATTTACAGCATTATTACTGTAATCCAGAGCCTCGGGCAAACGGGGAAATATGACGAACTGATTCTTTCGGACTGTTCGTTTCAATGAACCGATTCAGTTCACTAGTTTGTTTACGTGATCACACAATGACGTCACGTATACGTGATTATATTAATAAAGCACTCAATAATGATGTGAAACGTGGATGTTTTGCACGTCTAAAGCATATAAAGTGACTAAACTAGTCTTCATCAGCGCACTTTTTACATAAACACCGAGAAACCATAAAAGCTTCATTTGGCGCTTCATTCAAGTGTTGTTCACGCTGTTCAGTCCGAGTCGAACCGGACATCACTCCGGACCGTTTGCCCCAGGCTCTGGATTACAGTAATAATGCTGTAAATAATGTTCAGCTTCTTGCACAGACTGATCGTTTCTCTTCAGAAGATCTCAGTATATCGTCAGGAGACACGGGGATTCATTTAATGTTCCCTGATATTGATGATTGACTCTCAGAGTGACGGTAGCAAGTTTTATGATTCACAGAGGAGCACGGCTTCAGCTAAAAATCATCTTTACTGTCCTACTGAAGAACAAAAGCCGCCTCCACGGCCTGAGGAAGAGTACATTCACAGCTAATGTTCATTATCGAGTCATACCGTAATAAGTCACATCAGACCCAAATGGCTTGTGCTCCAGGGTCCACACTTACTGTCTGGTGCTGGTTTTGTCAGGTTTGATGTCTGCTTTCTTGTTCAGGTCGCTCAGTGATGAGGACAGATACAGATCCTTCACTCCAGCGGACACAGACGGCATTTCAGCTCATACTCCTGCAAGCATCCCAAAGCAGACGCATTCACAATCATTAGCTTATTAATAATCATAATCATAATCATAAACACGATCAGACTCAACACAGCATCTGATGCAGAACTACAGTACATTAATAACTGGCTGTTTATTTGTATCGCAGTTAACCCTAAACACACCGCTGGGATACAATCCTCTCCGAAAACAGGCTGGAGTCAGCAGAGAAGCGCAGAGCAGCCGCAAAAGTGGAGTTTATCCGGATCAAAGGCAGTAAACAGCCTGAAAGCGCTCCACCAAACGCGGAAGTCAGCTGATTCGTCTCGCGGCGCATGCGCACTGCCTTCATTCCGATTTACGAGATTGTATTTATTTTAAATCAAGAATGCACAATAGAATATACATTACAGAAAAATAGTATTTAAAAATAATAATAAATAAAAGGCTGCGGGTGAATGTCGTGTTCGTGGTTTAGTTGTGTTCTTTCATACCGAGGCCCTGCCCGCCGCCGTGTTGTTGTCGTCTCGGATTCGGTTCTGCGGGTTCTGCGGGTTCTGCTCGGACGGTAAGAAACAGAATTCGGCGTGATCGCGTCCGCCGGATGTGGAAGCGGATGAGTTTGTGGGGATTAATGTTTCCTCTTCCTCCGGAACACCAGCGATTTCCTGTTTATTGTTTTTAACGCCGCGGCTTCACGTGCACATATTTAGAAACTATAAATACTGCACTAATAGACAGAAGTGCTGATCATGCCCGGGGTTCACAGCACTGATGAGTTCTTCTAAGCCATGTTTATAAAGCTGCATGAATGTCCTCCTCTAAACCCTGTCTGAGAGGCCAGGCCTAGTGTTTCAGAGCAGGCACTGGTGGAAGGTGTATTTTCAAACTTTGCTAAAACCAGACATTTACATTAATAGATCATACTGACATATTTATTCCTTAAGTTCTCTTTATTGGTCTTAAAAAGTCTTAAATTGACCTGCAGAAACCCGGTGGATTAATGTTTCCTCTTCCTCCGGAACACCAGCGATTTCCTGTTTATTGTTTTTAACGCCGCGGCTTCACGTGCACTGATGAAGATGAAGATGATGAAGATGAAGCGCTGCTTCACATATACACTGTTTAATGCAACACTGTTAAATATTCCATTAGCTGCAGAACAGCAGCAGTTCCGTGGATCAAGTGTTTTTGCTGTGTGGCTCGTGTAACTGGTATTTGTGGTAAAACATGATGTCAAACATATTTAGAAACTATAAATACTGCACTAATAGACAGAAGTGCTGATCATGCCCGGGGTTCACAGCACTGATGAGTTCTTCTAAGCCATGTTTATAAAGCTGCATGAATGTCCTCCTCTAAACCCTGTCTGAGAGGCCAGGCCTAGTGTTTCAGAGCAGGCACTGGTGGAAGGTGTATTTTCAAACTTTGCTAAAACCAGACATTTACATTAATAGATCATACTGACATATTTATTCCTTAAGTTCTCTTTATTGGTCTTAAAAAGTCTTAAATTGACCTGCAGAAACCCGGCTGTGTGTCAGGTCACCGTTATTTATATAGCGCTTCTAACGATACAGATTGTGTTAAAGCAGCTTTACAGCATTAATTAGGAAAATAGTGTGTCAGTAATGCAGGACAATAGTAAACACTCAATGTTCAGTTAAAGACAGTTCATCACTGAATTCAGTGATGTCATCATCCAGCTCAGCTCAGTTTGAATAGTGTCTGTGCAATCAAGTCCACGATATCGCTGGAAATGAAGTGTCCCCAACTAAGCAAGCCAGAGGAACCAGAACTCCATCAGTGACAGAATGGAGAAAACCCTTGGGAGAAACCAGGCTCAGTCGGGGGCCAGTTCTCCTCTGAGCAGACGAACCAGCAGGTTGCTGCAGCAGAGTCAGATTGTGCAGAGGACTCGACTGGTTCCTGTGGTCTTGTGTGTGTGAATGAGGTGGATAAATGTCTGCGTCTGCTTTCAGATGTCTCTAGTGGATTTGGGAAAGAAGCTCCTGGAAGCCGCTAGCGCCGGTCAGGACGACGAGGTCCGGATTCTGATGGCGAATGGAGCTCCGTTCACCACCGACTGGGTGAGTGTGTGTGTGTGTGTGTGTATGTATATGAGTGTGTGTGTGTGTGTATGTGAGTGTGTGTGTGTGTGTGTGAGAGAGAGAGAGAGTGTGTGTGTGTGTGTGTG